AGTGTCACATCATTCTTCAGAAATCATTCTAATATGCTGATTTGCTGCTCTTATCAATGTTGAAAACAGCTGTGCTATTTAATATTTTTGTGGAAAAAGGTGATACATTTTTTAGGATTACTTGAGTAGAAAGTTCAAAAGAACAGCATTTATTTGAAATTGAAATTTTCTGTAACATTGACTGTCACTTTTGATCAATTGAATGCATTCTTGCTGAATAAAAGCATTAATTACTTCCAAAAAATTTTTTTTAATACTGACCGCAAACTTATTTTAAACAATTAAAGACAGAACTTCCCCATCAGGATTTTACCATGAAAACAGACCAAAACACTAATTAAATGCATGCTGATAACAGCACTGCCAATAAAAATATCACAGCTAAATATATAAATATATAGTCTTTAGTAGTAAACAAATAAATACATAACTTGCTATTTAACAAGTGAGTTGCTGGATGACCAGTTGAATAGCTGACTAGCATGATTCATTACCCACCTCTATTTATAAGCCAGTCCTTTGTCAAAAGTCTAGAGCGCTACATAGGAAATCTAACACCAGGCAAGCATTAAGTCATTGTCTGATATGGGCAGAGATGTGCTCAACCAGCACAAACACATTTCAAAACACAACTGAAGCAAAGACAAATTACCATTCCATGCCATTCACGACATAATGGGTTTTCATAAAGAAATACATTCGCTCATCTTTTGTACATTCTGAGGTAAATTATTATTCCCTAACTAAGTCTGACCTAGATAAACAACCATGTCAGGAATGTCTTCTCCTTTCCCTGATGAACACAACAACATGGCAGTACAAATAAATTACATGGTCACAAAGCAAACATTTTATTCTGAGCAATACTGCAAATCTGACATGTCATAAATCCCAAACTGGCTCCACTGCCAAAACGTCACATTTAAGAATCGGGGGTAAACGGAAATCGCTGTCGTCTCATTCATCTTACATCAGGGATAAAGTAAAGTCACAATATTAGATGTATTGCAGGGACAAAGAGCACCTTCACTGATGATGTGAACATAGCTTAGCGTTAAAGGCTAAGGACATCATACGTCACCACAATACATAGTGGTTTGTCATTTTTCTGATATGACTTTTACTTTAAATGCTAGTATACACTCTTCCTATCTCTTCTCATTGTCATATATCCTTAATCCGAACTGCCATTTATCCGGAACTGAACTTATTTGGAGGAAAAATAGTGACAGTATGATTGAAAAATGTCTGAAAAAAAAAATTCAAAATGCATTTAAAGTCCACAAACCAAAACAGAATGTTAAAGATGCTGCACATGGCATATAAAAGCACAACAACTAACCATTATTCATTAGCAACACGAAAGGTCTTAATTAATATTCAAGCATATAAGCCGGTCAAAGAAAAATAATTAAAGGCAGAGCACAAAATGTGATGAAAATTATTCAGGAATAAAAAAAAAGATGAACTGCATATAAATCAATTGGACGCTGGATGTTGCGAAAGTCTACTTTTGATTGCTGCTTTAATACTGAAACCATGATTGGGAGACTGGTTATCCTTGAGTGGTGAATTTCTTCAAGAGGGGGCATGCAATCAGATTTCAAACCGAATGTAAAAACATATGCCCCTCAATCAAGCTAATTTAGCAGGGCTGTTTATTCGCCCTTTTTTGTTTTTTTGCCCATTTACTTTTGTCAGTTTTGTAGGCAGCAGTTCACTGATGCCGAATGGCCAATATTATACTGCTGTAGCAACTGGAACGATCCGTAATTCCCACTTTAGTCTTCTTAATGTTAGAATACTATCGATCTAGCCTGCATTAAACAGTAATGCATCATGACCTGTAAATGTTCTAGAGACGAACTGGAATCCAAGGGCTCCTCACTTCAGAAAGCAGAAAGGAAAATAGCTTCACTTCCTTTTCCAACTGAAAACCAAAAGAGTTCAAAAGTGACTGCAAAGCAATGTAAGGATGGTTAATGACAGGAAACACCTCAGAGCTGAAGTGGTGGTGGTACCTGTGATGTCAGTTTGTATTTTCATGACAGCTGCAACACTTTCCACGCAAATTTTGAATAAAGCATCAATTTCCGAGAAACAGAGCCTTAATGGGACCTACATAGGGACGTGTAATTCTGTCATGTGACACTACATTCATTTGCATTCAAGTCCTTTTTCACAACAAAGTGTTTCCAAACTATTTGTTCGGCATTTGGAGTCATTTGAATCAACACGGATTCCATCAAAATTACAATGAACTAAAAATACAGAGCATGTTAAGGTCACAATTAATTAAAGTATACTGAAGTATATAGCTTTTGATACAGTATATTACTGTTGATAATTATTCATTAAACAGTGTTTCCAAACTAGCGTTTTTTGAGGTACTGACATACAAAAAAAAAGGTTAAAAAAAGGGTAAAAAGTCTGACAGCAAAGTTTTCAGATGGACTCTATCAAATTACAGTAAATTACAGGTTCATAAAATTACATGCAATGAACTGTTAAAATACAGAGCATATTTTAAGGCCACAATTAAAACTGACAGTGTATTACTGCTGAACATTCTTCCAAAAATTTTTTTTTGTTAAATTAATTTAAACAATTTAAATAATTACTGACAATTTGTGCGTTAAAGTTACACAGAAAAAGCAAAATAGTGATTGATAATTAGCATTTCCATCAACTAATTTATAAACATTTTGATGCACCATAGTTTCCCCCCCCAAAAAAAATATAGATAAAAAAATTGGCTAATGACCTCAGCTTTGCCTCATTCACTCCCCATATAAAGGCTTCTTATTGAAAGACAAAAGCAGCCAGAAGAACACTCATCAAAACACTAAAAGTGATGTAAAGTGGCAAATCAGAGGTTGTTGGGAATGTAGTAAGTGGATCCAACACGCTCTCACATGGAAACGCCGCTCTAGAGTCTTTTATCATGCACCACCGAAATGTCACTCTTAAATCGCATGACTTTCCAAAAATGTCATTCAAGCATCATATTCAAGAGGATCAAATCACCCAAGGCTAACATTTAGGGTGAAAATGCTAAATCTGTCATCATGTGGTTCGAATCCTGTAATATTTTCTGTCTTCCGTGGGACAAAAAGGAAGTCTGAGCTGTTATTTTCCATATACTTTTTTTACTGTCAGTTTTGAAAAATGACACAAGCACATTGATTTATACAGTTTTCAGAAGCCACAGCTTTTTGTGAGGAACAAACTTTATAACAGATTTATGCCATTCCCTGAAAAACTCAGCATAAGCTTGTAAATACTAGTGCTGCAACTATCAATTATTTTGATGATCGATTAATCTGTCAAGTATGTGTTTAATTAATGAAATATATAAAAAATATATTTTTTATATCTATGTGAACTATGCATAGTTCATCTATGTGAACTATGCACGTACATAAAATATAATTATGGCTATATATTAATATCACATTCTAAAACTTGCCCACAATAAAAAAAAAAAAAAACAATTTCAAGACTTGTCGATTATAATTTTGGATTATTATTGAGTTTACTGATTAGCTGTTGTAGCCATTAAAAAATAAAATAAATAACATTAATTTAATGTTATTTATTATAAAAATAACTATTAAAAGTAACATTAAATACATCAATTGTCCATTCCACTGTAACCGATTTTCTAACCATCATAGAAATGGAAGTGAGACCTTAGGACTTGATTTTAAAAGTTTAAAGCTGTTTTCGCCTAGTCTGAAGTCTTGTCCCTTGGACTAGAGTCTAACTTGGACAGATCAAATGATTCATCTTCTGAAGAGAGCTGAGGATGTCCAGGAGCAACATTTTGGTGGTGCAGGATAAAAGACAATGAAGTTTCTCCTTTGAGACCACCCTGTGTGTATTGCTGGTGGGTCCAGCAATAATTCCACTCCTCACTGCTGTGAGTACTGAACACAGTGGTCAGTGTCTTTCTCTGGATCTAAGTGCTTCCTTGATTGCTTACTGTTGATTAAAGCAGCCAGGAAGAAATCAAGGCAGCCTCTTGACTCATTGATCTTCAGCTGTCCTTGGTGAGCTCAGTGTTTGAAAGAGGTAGGCTAACATCCTGCTACCACAACCACCACGCCTTATGAATATGTAAAGGGACAATCTTGATGTTTAATGTCATTTTCTAATTTAAGTCATAACATTACACACATTAAAGATGTCATTTCCTAATTAAAAAAAAAAAAAAAGCTTAATGTGTAAACAACTGAGAAGCAATTAGATTAAAATATGAATAAGAAATCTGATTAAAATGATGTACACTCACATAAGATGATGACACTGGTCTTCTAGAAAAAGCTGTTTCATACTACATGAAGTGGGTCACCAATCCATGGGAGCTGCCATGTTGGGACACTATACAAGGTGGTGTGTTTTAAGATTGGCCAAGTTACTGCTACTTACATTATAGTGTTTTAGCCAGCATGCAAGGTTTCCATCATTTAAGCTCATATAAACAAAACAATAAAATGGTGAGAAATTCAAACAGAAAAGACCAAACCAAAGACAATCAAACACCTCTGGTGTAAAGCAGTAGCCATCAGTAAACCAACCTCATGCATCCACACCACTAGGTGTCAGTATAAAGTACAAGAACACTAGAATGAAGAAGAGCATGTGAAATATAGATAAAACCCTTTAATCAATAATTAAAGGTCCCATATTTTACACCTTTCTGGAGTTTTATTTTAGGTTTTGATGTCCTTAAGAATATATATTTGCGGTATAAGTACCAAAAACCATCTCAATATATTTTTACAGCTCCTTTCTCAGGAGCTCTGCTGAGAACAGGTCGATTTTGGCCTGTCTAATTAATATTCATGAGCCTCTCTTCTGATTGGCCTGTTGTTTTTTTTCCACGACATTCTAATTTATTGAGATGCACCTGTATATTGTTGAAGAGAAAAACCTAATGAATAAAGAATAAAGTCCTACAGTAAATATTACAGCTTATGCATTATTATGATACTCACCCAGATGTTGCCGTCTTGATGGTATGGTTTCCAGTTCCTGCCTGTATCACTATAGAGCAGCCGGTAGCGTGTTGTCCAATCAGAGCTGCTATATCGACCCTGCGTGGCGATGACTGTGACCTGTTTTCTGCTTCCCAGGTCGACCTGCAGCCACTGGTAATGATCACTGTCCAGCGGAGACCAGCCCCCAGCACCTAGAGAAAGTGCACAACACTTACTATCTTGTTGTATTGATCTAAAGTCTTTGTGCTTGTGTCACAGAGGGGCTAGAGAAAAACAGAACAGCAACAAATGTTGTTGATTTTTTGTAAATGTTATGTTTGCTCTTAAAAGGTTTTTTAAGAGTACAAATTGAACGTCATACTCTACAGGATAATCTACAAGAGTTTTGTAATTTAACAAAGATCAGCTTTAATGGTGTTGTTCAAGAGGAGCATCTGTATTTTTCTGTTTTTGCTTCTCTTGGAAGTCTAAGAACAGATTGTCCTACAGATGTTTTATCTGTGCTTTTAGCTGGAGTCTTTTGGACATTTGTTAAAGGCATATTTGAAGGATCATTAAATGTCGTAAATCTAACCATTAATATTAAAGAAACGATCCCTTTTCAGCCTCTCCCTTTCAACCACATGTCTCCATTCTGGCACGTAATACCTACTTCTCACAATCCAATCAAATCCAATTCAAACATTTTTCTCTTTGAATATCCTGTTTCTCTCAAAATACCTCAAACCTTGTTGCTAATTTTTCATCTTCTGGCACTTTTATGTCCCAAGGGTTGATTTTTTACTAACAGATTTTGACTTATTTTTAGTTCACATGAGATTTTTTTTTCAATATAATCTTTTACATATAGATTTTTTTTAATGCTTGCCCCAAACCAATCATAAACTATGAAAATCCATCATAAAACATATGACTTATATCATATTACATGATAAAACTATGACAACTTAAAAGAGTGAAATAAACATTTTAAAAAACTTTTAATATTTGTGCACATATGATGGATGATCTTTTTTTTTAAATTTGTGACTGTCCCACAGCTGTGGGGTCATTTAACAGAAAACCAATAAATATTGCCCCTAATAAAGTTTTATTTTATTTGCAATCAAGATACCAAGAAGGTAACAGTATCGAATAACTAAAATGAGAGACGCAAAGTATGAAGAAAAGTTTTTTTTTTTTTTAATATTCTGAATTATGAGCAGAATATTGTTATTGTGCATAATTTCCAATCCAGCCTTAATTGTTAAATTATTAACAGCAGAAATATTATTTAACCATGACTTTTTAAAATGTGTGCATAAATGCAAAGTTGATATTTAGAAGTAAATTAAGTCCATTTAGTTCCTAACTATCTTCATTGCAAACATAAGACAGAATGGTCCTGGCCAGCGACACACTGCAGCAGGCAAAGGGAGAGTCAGAGCGAGGACATAAAGTGAGGGTCAGCAGTTTAGGGTGTCCGGGGATCAGTACAAGACAGAAGCTTAAGAGAGTGTAAGAGAGCCAGGGGACATCGACTCCACTGCCACCTGCAACCTGCCACCGAGGCAGATGTTCTGAGGAGATAAAGAGAGCAGAAGAAGGGCACTGGAAGGACACCGGCAGCCCAGAAAGAGAGGAATAAGACAGGTAGCAGAAGACAACAGCTCCTGGAGTTGTTACGGTCCAGACTAAATAAATAAAAAACACTCGATGACTCTGATAAAACAGCAGAAGACAGAACTGAACAGATGAAAAATAAATTGCATTATGTTGGTCTAAACCCTGCCTGAACCCTGCGCAGCCTTATAGATGTAGCATGTAGGATTTTGTGATGATAATGCACCTAGGCGATGATAAATCACATGGCATAATTTTTGAATAGTTTACCATCTGCTAACATGCTGACACTAAAAGTGTCAGGGGTGGTAAAGGAAGAGGAATCAGTTGCAGGGATAACAAGGATTTTATTGAGAAAAAGAGAGAGACTCGGAATGTGATTTGTTATGCCCGTTTTGGTGATTTGTTTTTGTATTGTCTTACGATTTCAGTCACTTGACAAAGTTAATCTATTTGATAATTTCTGGATTCAAATATTGATGTTCAAATGCAGACATTATGTTTGCAATATTGGTTTCTAATACAAGATGAAGGAGATACAGACAGCTGTCGGCAAAGCGACGCTACAGGCAGGACAGTATCAATGAGAGTGTGCTGCACATTAATCACAGAGTGATCTGTTTGACCTCATAATTAAAATTCAGTCATTACAGTTTTATCATTTTCATGCTTGAAGCTCTGCCTCAGTAATACATTTTCAGTCAAGTAAAAAATATATACTCTCAAACTTCAGCACCAATTAGAAATGAAAGAAAGTGTTCATCAAAAAAATGAAAGATCTCCGTATGACTTTCTTTGTTCTATTGAACAGAAAAAGAGATTCAACATGAAAATGAAAAACTTTCAGAATTAACCTCATGAAAATTCATATTTATACACAGTCGGCACAATTTTTTAAAAATGTTTTTGTTTCTTATGCTCATCAAGGCTATGTTGATTTGATCAAAAATAGAATAAAAAATAGTAAAATAATTGTTTTATGTGATAGCTTGTTTCTGCCACAGGATAAAAATGGTCACAATTTTTTCTGAGTTTACAGTATCCTTTTTTTTTATTTCAAGACATAAACTCGCTATTCTGAGAAGAAAAGAGATTTGAATTTTGAAATTCTGAATTGTGAGATTTAAACTCAAATTGCGATAAAAAGTCGCAATTACCTTTTTTTATTCCATGGTGGAAAAAAAACAGAATTTTGAGATATAAACTTAGAATTAAAATACGTATGGAAAATGTAATCTTAGAATTCTGAGAATGTCAGTCAGAATTCTGAGTTTATATCTTGCAAATCTAACTTTCTCGGAATTCCAAGTTTCTATTTTGCAATCCTGAGTTTATATCTTGCAATTCTGACCTTTTTCTCAGAATTGCAAGATATAAACTCAGGATTGCAAAATAAAAACTTTGGTGGTCTGTGTAACGCCTCACAATTCAGTTTTCAGACCATGAAAAGCAAAAGCAAAAAAATATATATTTTTTTTTCATATACTTTATCAATAGATATTTTTGCTATAGTGTGACTTCAGAATAATTTGAATAAATGAAATCTAACCTCTAGCAAAAATAAATAAATAAATAAATAAAAATGTAAGCAACATTTCTTTAATTTTGTTAGGTTTTTAGCTCTCACAATACACTATTTATACAGTAATCGCATCAGGTGCAGAATAACAAACAAGCGAGTATTCTTTGTTACCACGGCAACCGCCTGCGCTTCCGCGCTTAATACCACTTTTCGTTGCCTTAAAATACCCTTAAATCTAGCAGTTATTAACTCTGTTCATTACAGTAAAGGCAGTTCGCCGAAGGCGATTGTACAAGCTATATACTGTAGCTATAGTGCACCAATTCAAGAGTACTATGATTGATTTCAATTCATTATCGAATGGCAAATCCCCAAATCATGTAGATGCATCAGACATACAATAAAAATTAAGTAATAACGAATAAAATAAATAGACACAAACAATCAGCAGGACACCAGGATTTCTCTTTTCAGGATGCTCCTGATGGCCTGTACAAGACTGCCCTATATTTAGCACAGTTAATAACAGTAAAAATGACAACACTTCAGGTGGAAAAGGTCGTCCTCTGTGTTAGTCTTTTAAACTATTCCTCGATGTGTATTATATATTGTATATATATTGTATATTGTGTATATATATTGTTTGAATATTGAATATTGAAAATTAAATGTGTGTAGCTTTTATAAAATACCCCAATGTTGGATGTTACCATATGTATATGTTACTGTAGATTATATATATATATATTTTTTTACAGTGTATTCATAATGTATAAAATATATAAAATAGAGAAAGATTTAATTCACTCAGGAAACTTTTAAGAATGCAAAAGTAGAAAAATCTAGAAAGAAAGAGAAAGGGAAATAAAGGACATGGATCACTGCTCACATTCCTAATATTAGTCCCTCAATCTCATGCATGGACACATTGGTATTCAGCTGAGCTTGGGGTACATGACTGAGCACTGGGGGAATGAACCTTCCTTCCCCTCTGTCATTCACCTCAGTTTTCCCACCTCTCCCTCTCATTAGTTTCCAACAGGCTATTTTGTTTCTCACATACCTGCCAGAACAGCCGTCTGTCCCTTCCCATCTCCAGCTGTGAGGGCCAAACAGGTTTCTGATGAAGCAAGATTTGACCTTTCCCTCAGATTCATCTCACAGATGAACTGCTGCTAAACAGATACCCCTCCTGCCGGATGAGAGCGGAGGAAGCCTAAGCAAGTCTCAAATATGATGTCTGGATTTGAGGTGATGCTGAGGGCAGACCGTGAAATGGCTGTGTGCATCTCACACTCCAGAGCGGCGTGATTACAGCTGACCTTCAACAGGCCATTTTCTGATGTAAATCCATATGTAAAACGTGAAGTGATGGATGTGTTTCATAGTGTCAAGGTCTTTAGGAGACTGAGTGAAAAATGTTGCTTGAGCTGTGTCAGAAATGCATATTAAACCACTATGCTTTTAAAGATCTAACAGGATGAACACATAGCCAGAGTTTTAACCTTTGTTCTTGAAGAGGGGGAAATGGGGTCATATAGGTCCACTGCTATACTTCATAACACATGAAAGCAGCATAAATCCAAGGTCTGGCCCATCCTGTATAGACTATAAATGGCAGAAACAATCTACACAACTAGTACAACCCTAATTCTGTTGAACTTGGGTGTGCTATCTGTGTATAACTATTACTTAGGCTAATTATTTAATTAATTAGTTATTCTTATTGTATAATTTTGAGGTGTTAAGTTTCTGCATACAGTCTCTGTTCAAATTATATAATATTACTTTTTTATGCTTTTATTATAACAACATCTTATTAACATCTTATTATTTGCTATGATTTCCCATTTTCAAGACAGAGACAGAAAGATGGAATTATAGATGAAACAATTAATGTATAGTTGGAAAGCCAGACAGACAGACAGACAGACAGAACAGGAAAGATGGACAGATAGATATAACAATAGAATGATAGAAAGATACATAGAACAACAGACAGATGGATGGATGGACAAAACAGAGATAGATAGAACGATAGAATGATAGAACAATATATAGAATGAC